CACTCACAACGAGTAGAGCCTTCGTTGAACCCGTGGATACCTTAAAGAGATCTGGTCTGTTGGAAGCTGGAGATCCGGGCGATTGTTGGCTGTTGGGTCTCGGCGGTGGTGTAGGAAGGCGGGATCATTCCGCAGAGAGCTTCTGGCGGAAGGAGGTGGAAGTAGGCGGGTTGGGAAGAATCCTCAGCGTTCAGTGGCCTGAATCAGCTGTATAGTGTGCTAGGTGACTTGTCGGCGGGGCTCTTGCGGCAGGGAACAGGTTTGGCAGGAAAAGAACTTGTTGAAGTGACTCTTCTGCGGCGAGGTCGACGACCGGCGTAAGGAATCGAGCGTAGTCGATGCTAGAAGGCTTGTCGAAGTGAATCTACCGCGGTGAATCTTTGGCGGCGGGAGGTCGTACGGCGTAATGAACTGCCGTCTTCTCAGTGCTCAGCGGCCAGCGGTCTGGCGGTCGGTCTGGCGGCCTGAGGGATTATTGAAGGGAGCTTTTCTATGGTGGCTAGCGCTCTAGCAGGCTGAGGGCTTGCAGAAGTGAAGTAACCTTTCCGCGGTGGTTTTCTGGCGGCAGGAGGTCTGCGTGATGGAGCTCCTCTCGAAGCTTCCATCAAGCTTCCGCAGTCGAGAGTTGGTTTTAGCACAAAGTCGATCGTGATCCTGCCAGTGGACCTAAGTCACCTAAGTTAATGGGAGAAAGAGCTGGCTGCCCGTTCGTAACTGTCTCTTCTGTAGACCGTGGGCCCTTGCTAATCTGTGGTGGACTTCAACTACTAATCAGTGTTGGTAATACACGTTAGCAGGGCAGACACGCATTTCGGCCGGTACGAACTCAATAATCGTGTATTGAAGTGCGCATGTACATACCAACACTGATCGGTAGTCGAATTCCGTTATCTCAGATCAGCAAGGGCAACAAGTCACACAGGAGACAGTCTTGAACGGGCAGCCGGCTCTTCTGCCTATTGACTTACTTTAGGTGACCGAGACTCACTGGCAGGATCACTGCCGACTTTGTGCTGCCTACTCTCGACTACAGGAGCTGGACGGAAACTTAGAAAGCGCGTTCCATCAAGCGAGAGATTACTTCCGTTTAGTCGACCGACGGGAAAGAATTCCTCCTCCTTCCACCTCCATACGCAGCAGCTGACACCACTTTGTTGACCCTCCGTGCCAACTATACGGTTGCCTTGCTGTGTATACCAACAGATATCGTCTTTGCTCACTCCTATCCTGCTGATAACCTCAAAGGGGATAGCCAGGTTCTGGTGGCGTCTGATGAGCGAATATGGCGAATCGTATGTCGCTTTGGCAGCAACCGAGGTTTCCTTTGTGTTTATCGATGGTTATGGCATATGGAGGGCCAAGGAGAGGGTGGGACCAAGTCATAATGGGTTGTATTGTTATCGTGCTACATTCAAAGGGGTCCTGAAAGCGCCCAGCCCAGTGCTGCGTGACGGTCCTCCGTTCCACCACAGTAAGTAGTGTATGCGGTACATCGCATGCCTCAGCAAGTAAACTCAAAGTAGTTGCTCTATAGCAAGTTCTGTGAACGTTTGCGTTGTCCCTGATATTCGCAGTAGGTTGTGCATGCCCTGGAGTGCCGCACATTCTTGTCATCAGTTCCGTATAGGTGCGGCTCGCTCAATGTTGAGGCGATGTCGGCTTTGAAGTCCAATCTGACTGCGCGTCAAGGGCAGCGCACATACGGCAGCGCACCCACAAAAGCGGACGAATCAATTACCCTGTGATAGGGATACCAACAGGCGATGAGAAATCCTACGAAGGCAAGACTGCTCCCGTCCTGGATCCTAGGATCGCTAGACCAGAACCCCGCTCCTCACTTCCAATCCTCGGAATTGTGAGCTGAGTTCGGCATCAATTCTGAAACCTTTGATTATCAGCATTTCGGCAACCCCCAATCCTATGATCAGCACATCGCTCCCTCTTGGTTCCCTCCCAAGTCCCAGGAAGGCGCAGAAGGATAGGCATTATCCTAGGATTATCGCACCTTGAAATCTGCTCGCCTGGGTAGTCGTGCCAATCACGCAGTCTCTGGGCGTCGGGTAATCCAGATGCGCCTGAACAACAAAGAGGCACGCAGTCAAAATAAGGTAGCCGGGCTCGTCTTAGTTCGCAATCGTCCCTGGGTCTTATCGGTCGTTTATCGATAAGAAAAGAATGGATTGAGGTGGGTGTTCAATCGGACCGTGCGGACGGGGCACCTCCCACAACTTTCTTTCGATATCGATAAGTGATAAGCCGAACGGTAAAGTATCTTAAGGTACCTGGAGGAAAGACCCGAGAATGAGGAGAGATGCGAAACAAGGCCTGATGATGTGAATATGGCCACACACTCTTTCGAACTGCCTTGAGTATTTCACGTGCTCTGTACGGTTGTATGGATGCCAGAATGCAAAAGCTTTCCTTATAGCCTCTTCTTAGCACAGGCCACGGCTTCTTACGTGCACATTCTACATGCGTCATCATTAACTTCATGAGAAATTTGATGTCCAATTGAGGTAACGCCAGAGTGTATGATCAAGGCATGGTCACATGATTGTCCAAATCCCCATTTATCATCTTGTCAACTGTCGCCCCAAACACCGCGACTGCAGTCACGTAGGTATGGTGGACCTTCACGCCAAAGGGAATGCTTAGTCATGCCAGACCCGAAAGCGGGTATGTCCACACACGTTAGGTCAGCAAGGGGTCGGGCACCTTATGTCAACACGCGGGGGCCAGAAAGAATTGGACGGCTCAGGCTCGATGCTCGAAAGACAGGTGAATTTCTCTGTCCCCGCCGTGGTCAGGTTAGCGGGCAGTCAGCTACTTGTGGGGCGTACCGGACATCTCCCGCGCATGACGGCATTTGCACTGCACCCATCTCAGGGAAGAAGCCGAATATGACAAACTGCGCTACGATCGATGGAGTTCCAAAAGTGGTGTCCATGAATCTGCCTCAATCGAGCGATGGTCCTGCGCGGCTCTCGTTAACGTTGAGAGTCGCAATAGTTGCACTTTACTTTCTCGAAGACAACCACGCGGGCCACCCAGATATCGATCAGGGACACCCCATTTGACTACGGCACTTCAAGCAGACACCTAATGGGCTACCAAGCCACCACAGCCACCTCCGCGCGCAGGTCACGAGGCGCCGGCTGCTAAGAGGAATTTCGAACCTAAAAAGTGGTGCTGATGGATGCTTGGTTTCTCTAAATGTATAGTATGCCTGGCACACAGTGCTAGGTACTGCTATAACTGTAGAATATTAGACATTGTGGGTGGGTAGTTGGTGCCCATCTTCTCAGTCTGCCTGGGAACATAATGGTCTGCAGATAACGCGCCTCCGATTGAGTCTCTCCTCATACGAGAGCATTCAAGTTAAATTGAGATGAGCGAAGAGGGATGACCTTCATCCCGAATTCCCTTTTCGCTCTGCTCTTTATGATTGGTCCTCACAACAGGTATATTCGAAGCCAGACACGTTGCGAGCGGAAACTGACTATTAGGAAGGGGACAAACCTTGCACTTTCTAGGAACCTGAAGGTAGATTTGGTTACTTAAGGTACCTAGCCAAAGCTTCAGGCCTCGCCCGTCACAGCAGTAACAGATGACGAAGACACCGGCTCTGAGAGCAGCGATAGAACCTGAGCGAGAGAAGAGCTCTTGATCGAAGGCATCCGCCTTTATGGAAAGGGGAACCTTCACATCGAGGGCCTCGGTGGAGGGAGGCGCTGAAACGCTCTCCACTGGCACGAAGCCACCGGATTGCAGCAGTAGAAATCAGCTGTGGCTGGGCAGTGTGGCCTGTTGTGGCGGCCTCTGCTTGGGCGGCAGGCACGAGGACAGGAACCCTTTGATAAGGTACCTTAACAGAAGGAAGGGAGGAAGGTGCGTCTGCCCTTCCAACTCCCTCCTTATCGAATACCTTTTCCGCCTGCAACAGTCTCTTGAGCAATACGACACTTGAGCAAAAGTTTTATTAATCGGAATGGTACCTTTTCTATTCGAGAAGTCCAGGGGAGAACGTGCATTTTTGGCAGGAAAAAATGGTGTTCTGAGGAGGAATTCGTGCGCTGGTGCGGGCGTGCACGACGCACAAAGGCAGGCAGGCGGATTCGAAAGCTTGTGACTGCTGTACTCAGCGGTGCTCCATGTTGAGGGCCATGGGGGGGTTTTCCCCTTCTTCCTTCCGCTTCTCGAAAGCTGCCCGAAATTTTGCCACGCTTTGCTCTGTGTGGATACGCGACGCGCTGCACCACGCCCATCGCCCCCATACAAGATGCAATTTGCTTGGGTGATGCCTATTATCTTAAACAACACTTGAGCGACTTCTCTTTTCACTCGTTGCATGTTGTTGAGGGGGAGGGGGGGTCTATCTGCGAATCTAAGCTGAATGCACGCATTCCTCGTGAGGATGCACCAGCGCTGAGACTGTCAAGCCCATCCTGGACCACGAGGCGTCGGTTAAGAATACGTCGTCTTTGAGAACTGCGCCGATACAAGAGACTTGAATTTCATTTAGGAAGCTCTGATTGTGTAAACTCATCATGGCCTGAAGGACACACTGACTTCCTTCATTGTCCTTGTTTATCCGCACGTTCTACCACAATCTCGTCAATCCCCGCTGCCTTCCCTGAGAAGTGCCACCCCCCGGAGCTCTTCCGAGGTCTTGTAAACCCACTACATTTGTCAGCTCTGTGCCTCCACGTTTCTGACTGGGGCTCTGCGTCGACGGCGAGCGTGAGGTACGGGTACAGCATGTCGAAGCCGCGAGAAGCGGCGGACAGGGCGTGGCTTTCTAGCTATTGAACGGTCGAGGACGGATAGAGGGTGTTTTTGTGGATAAAGTCGGCGGCATCGGGGGGTAGGAGGGAGCGGATGAGGAAGTTTGTGATTGATGGTTCAGCCATCTTGGTGATTTCTGTTGTGGGTTTTCCGGGAGGGACTGGGGGGGGGGGGGCTTCGGAATTCGGTGTTGTCGGTCGGGGTGGCTATCCCACCAACTGCTGCGTCCCCTAAACGAGAAGGGTCTCGTCATCGAGAAGACGCCCGAGCTCACGGAGCTGAACATCCACAAGAATTGGACGGCCGAGATTGTTGGAGGGGAATACGACTTTCAACGCAAGGAGAGAAGGCAAAAAAACGGAGGAGAAAGGTGTGGCGGAATCCTGTGCGTCGAGGCATCGGTACTGCTAGAAGGCGTCAGTACATTCAATCCCAGTCTGTCTCGAAGTTTCTCTTTATTTCTGACCTATTCGTAGACAGATATGAGGAAAATAGGGTTGGAAACCGTAGATATCGCCATCTGGCAATTGATGGGATGAAGGTTTGTTAATCCTTGTTTCTTCCTTCCTACTACGTCTTTCTGTGACCTCTCGCTGCTTATTGCTCGTGTGTGGTTACTCGTCTCTTGTTTCCGGACTTTCTCTCGCTGCCGCCACATGTCAAGGGCATGAGCTTGTTCGCCCTGAGCCAGAGGAACTCTTTGAAATGCCTCTGAGTACGGACAGTAGCACAAATGTGTCCTCCTGGTTTTAATGCCCTTTGTACCAGACAACTGGCAACGCGCATCGCCCGCCCTTTCCGAAGAGTCCGGTCGCCGCATTTTCAGGGTCGAGATCAGACCTGACAACAGCATGCAGTGCTGGCGGCGACGCGAAGCCAAATTGGACCTGCTGCATTGTCGTTTGGGAGCGGGGGAGCGCGAGACTGTGCGAGTAGAGGCGTCGCTTCGAGATGGAAATGCAGAAGCTAGAGTAGGCCCAGTGCCACAAGCATATGAAGCTTGCGAAGATGCAGGATGCGCTGAACGACTTTACGCCTGTAGTGTGCTGCTATTTAAGCCAGGCGAATGACTCTCTTGCCTTTGCCCTTGCCGTCGAACTGGCTGGGGGTGGGTGTTATTTCCCGGAGGAAGTGCTGAAGAGCCGTCAAAATGGCTGGAGGAAATAAGCAAGTGGCAGTGCCCGGCAACTCGCGTCCGCCGTCTAGATGGGAAAAATCGATAATCTAGGCTAACCGTAAGTACGTAGTAAACGGAAGATGCCCGTACTAGGTAGGAACTTTGCTTAACTAGTACGGTGCTCTAGATGAGATCTGGACCACATGCGGTTCTGAATGCTGCTCTGGCCGGCAATAGTACAACTTCAATCACAAGTGGCGACGCCCTGCTGATCGCCATAGGCCATGATCTCGCTGTTGCTGAGGCCAAGAAGGGGCTCACGCTCGTCGTCCGAGTCAGAGGTGAGGTCGCCGGCCTCAAGGTCTCCGGGGTGGTGTAGGAAGGTAAGTGTTTGTATACACGTCAGCAGGGCAACCGTATAGTTGGCACGAAGGATCAATCAAGTGGTGTTTGTGGCTGCGTATGAAGGGAGAAGGAGGAGGAAGTTGCCAGAATCTGTGATTCCTCCGCAGGTGTGGTGTAAGTGGAAGGGCCGTTTGTATGGCCCAAGCCGCCTTCCAGATCCATCTTTCCTGCAGACTGCCGAGAATCCAATAGAAAGATCCTTCAGCTGCAAGGCTTTGGCGGAAGGGAGTGGAAGTTGGCGTGTCGGAATGCCCTTTCCTAACGGCTAGCGGTCTAACCGGCTGAAGGACCTACCGAAAGAGCTCGCGTCTTTCCTTGTGGAACAACTCTAGTAGAGAAAGAGCTTGTTGAAGTGACCCTTCTGCGGCGGGGTTGACTTCTGGTGGAAGGAGGTGGCGAAGGTGGATTTCTTCCGCAGCAAGTGGGCGGAAGAAATCAAGCGTAATTGACGCTGGAGGAAGGTCTGTCGAAATGATCCTTCCGAGGCGAGGTTCTCAGTTGACGTTTGGTGGAAGAGGGTTGGTAGGGACGTATCGGAACGCCACCTCTCAGTGGCTAGCGATCTGGCGGTCAGTCTAGCGGGCCAAGAAGTTGTCAAAGGGGGATTTTAGTGGGCAGAGCCTACGATTCTTCCGTTGGGTGTACGTAGGTAGGTGGAAAGGCCGTTGCAAGTAACGGCCCGACTACCTTCCGAATCTCCTTGTTTACCGTCAATATTCCAAAACCTCACGATGTTCTCGCGTCCCAACCACTCTTTGACTTCGAGCTTTACTTCGTCTCCCGGTTTGTTTTGACTACCCCAGGCGATCGGGCTCGGAGGCTACTCTGAATGCTGGCGTACTCCTCGTCGGTGTGAGCCGCGAGCTCTCCGTCAGGGCCAAGACTGGTCTCACCATTATCGAGCTTCAACTGGTCGAGAGAGCCGATTTCGCTATACTTAGCCGGGCCAGCTCTTCTGGGCTGGTCTGGGCTCGCTGAGCTCTTTGCCTTGTTCTATATCACAAAACAATGATGACTTCAACCATCATTTCTTGTATTTTCTCGAGTTAACCACTAGAACCGCGACCCTGGCCGCCGTCGCCCGCGGATTACTCTGTGTTGCTTCATTCAGGCCGAATACGCTGGAGAATCGTGGCAAATGGCAATATCAGGGCACCGTTTGTCCACCATAGGACTTTGGTCACGTTTCTCACTTGGGGAATGGATTTCGTTCACTTACAAGTTGAAGGAGGAAAGCTGGCAGGCAACCTGGGGTTCAAGCCCGTCTACCGTGATATCTTCACTACAACTGGGTCGACCCGGCTGAGCAAGAGAAGGAGTACACTGAGGCGAGCCCGTTGACTGCCGTCGCCTCATCTATTCAAGCTTGTCTGGCCGAATAACCCTTCAGGAACTCGGATTCGGATTACTCGTTTCCTAACAGCGGAGTCCAAGACGTCTACTCTGGCCGCTGAAGAGAAAAGCGAGGTCAAGCAGAGAAATTCCAATGACCATGCTGCTATCACGTCGTTCTTCTTTAATTCCTGAGGAGATGAGCTAGAAAAGCATACACCTGGTTTATATTGGTTCTTTTCTTAACTCCTTGGACGGTTCTTAAACATAGAAGTCGTTCTCGTCGATCTAAGCCTCATCTCACTCAAGCAGAATATGTACCCTCTATTACCACGCTCCAGGAGCTCTTCCGAGAAGTCGCAGTGGTATTGGGTAATCTGTAGCTTACTTGCTGTATCGATGTACTTGTCATATGTGATGAGGTAGAATTCCGAAAACCGGCGACATACCTCAGGACACTTCATCAAGTGGTTCGTATGAATGGATATGTCTCAAGGCTTGTCTCTCAATCCGCCACAATCCTCATAATAGTGACGAGCACGGGCTGAAGCTTGCGCTCTGAAATCCGCTTGGCCATAGACAGAGTCTTCAGCGCTACGTCAAAGATCACCTACCAGTAGACGAAGATGAAACAGCCCGTAATCCTACAATGCAGAAGCAGTTGTTGCGCCGAATGAATACGATACGGCCGTCGAATCAATCCAGAATGAGATCCTCCAGAATGTCAGTGGCATCTTCATGTGGATGATACTTGTAGTCAAATTCTGAACAGAGAGTTCGCTCGTGGCAGGCGAGAGACTCGAGCAGAGATTGTAAGAAATATCCGCAAATATCAGTGTGCTCTTCATAGACATTGAGCGCTTCACAGACATTTTGCAACAGAAGTGAAGATTTGGACGAGTTTCTCCTATGTTGTCAACATATCCTCTTTGTGGAGCGGTCTCTCAGCCCACAGAAATTCCATTTTGCCTTGCTCTCTGCGATACAAGAAGACGCTTCAGATTCAATTCTCAAGGGTGCAGGGAAAGTTACGATGAAATCCATAGGCCGCCGGGTGAGCGGCTTCCCAAAGGGACTCTCCAAACTCACTGAATCCGCGAATCTCTGCGTCCATTTCATTCGCGATTATGTGTGATACAAGCCTTGAAACAAAAGAAAAGAGACAAAATGGGTCTTCAACCTATCCATTCCGACGAAAGAGGCAATTTTCAGGCTCTGAGCCACGGAAACCTTAAAGAAGGCTGCGCGACATCAAGGGGAGGGGCATCGCCAGGTTTTCAGCTATGTCGGAGACGTGCCTTCTCATCAAGCATGCAGCCAGATACGACCTTCACCATTCTGATAAGGCAAAAAAGCAGATTTCTCATTGTGCCTTGTTGACGACTTGTCAATCACCAACTGGGTACTTATCTCTGAGAGATTTCACTTGTGCGAATATCCAGAAGACATTGCCTTGTTGTGTGTTCTTATAGACAACAAATATGGAAACCTTCTTAGCTGCCTTATCCGTTGCCAACACGGCTTCCGACCATAAGGGGGAAGAAAAGTATGGCCAACCGTTTCCCGCTGCGTTGGCTGAAGGACACTAGACAGTGGCTGAAGCATGTCTTGGACCATGTGTCCTTGAGAAATGTCAGAGCCCTCCCGTAATGAGGCTGGCAAGGGATTTCAAGGGCACAAGCAACAAAGCAGCAGTCCTGATACATTATTAATCAGGGAGTACACGTCCCGTTGAGGAGGAAGATTTCAGTAAATCGTCCTTTCGACTCTAACGGCAGCTGGCCTCTGGGAGCTTCCACCCTCCGTCGTACGCTTATGGACAACAGACCGCACGAAGACTTTCCCCTATGAGATGATCGTTTCCGGCGCCTCGGATTCACACAAAACACTATGTATGTCCCATTTGATCCATTTAATTATTGAAAATGGCCACATAAAACTCGCCAACCTGTTCATAACTTCAGACTACTTGAACCTCGTTGACCCAGATAGAGACAACCTTGTTCGTTGGCCTATCCACTCGGCAGACATCACCGGTCATGAACCGCTTATGACAACATTGATTGAACAGGTTGTGCTTTCCCCCCGGAAACCTGACTTATGTTATCAGGACCGTCACAGAGATCGAACAACCAGAAAAGAGGCCAGACCTAGCTGTTTCAAGAGCAATTTCGACTATATCAGCATCAAAGATTCCACTGATCGACGCCTCTTCTGCTTGCCGTCCAAAACTTCCAAGCAAAGATCATCAGACGACTTCTTGCAATGGGAGCAGATTCAACCCAGAACCCTCAGCATATTGGAGACCCTGAACCCCCAGCGCCCAGAAAGATGAGCAATAGTATTGCAAATTTCATCATTGGTGAGAGCTTAGTGACTCAGTAGACGATGTTTATCATTGCTGCGCGCCATGATCTCAGACATATCATCAGAAACTTGCGGAGAGTGGAAGCGCAAATTATTTGCTGCGGAAAGAGCTCCTCCAACAATCTCTCAGCCCGTCAGACCGCTAGCCGCTGAGAAGACGGCAGCTCAGTACGCCGTACAACCTCCTTCCGCTAGAGATCTACTGCGAAAGGATCACTTTGACAATTCCTCCAGCCTCAACTACGCTCGATTTCTTCCGCAAGAAGTCCGCTGAGGGAGAGTCACTACAACAAGCTCTTTTCCAGTCAGAATTATTCCCTGCGGAAATAGCTCCTTCTAAAAAGCCCCCGGTCCGCCAGGCCACTGTCCGCTGAGAGAAGGCATTCCAACACGCCCATACCGACTTCGTTCTGCCGGGCGTCGACCTCGCCGTGAAAGAGTCAATTCGACAAGCTTATATCTGCCACAATTATCCGCGGAAAGAGCTTTCTCGACAAGCATCCGCCGCCAGATCGCTGGCTCAGGTCGCTGGCAGCTGAATCAGGGCGTCTCAGAACGCCTATTTCGATTTTGTCCGCCTGAGCTCATAGCGAAAGGCTCTCGCCCTTATACACCACTGCCAAGATCCAACAGCAGAACCTTCGACTGCACCATCTCTTCTAGGCAATCTTACGGGTTGAACGAAGGTTCTACCCACTGCGGGCATCTTCCGTTTGCTGCGTACTTGCGGGCAGCCCGGATCATCAACTTGTCTCTGTCTTTGTGGCTCCAGTTCTCGTCAGACAGAACGACTAGTACGGCGAGCACAGCAAGTGCCATGATGAACAAAAAAGTGGGAGAGTTCTCTATCAGTACGGCGAACGCGGGTTTCCGGGCACTTCCACTTCCTCCAGTCAACTCCATCGTCAGCCACTTCGACGACACCTCCTCTGGCCGACTCAATGGCAAGTATGCGTGGTTGAAATAGCAGCACGCACACGCGGCAAGTATCCCAGCGAACGTATACGCCTCTCGGGCTTCGGCTTAGAGAGACACGTACGTATTCGGGGCGCAGTCTGACCGAAAAAGAGATCGTTTCCTTATCCAGGGTCAATATACATGTTGGAAGTAAGGAGTGGGGGACTTTAAATTTCTCATGCACGGTAACGACCCAAGAATGCTATCAGAATAGAAAAGGGGCATTCGGAAGCTTCAGTTATAGGGTACAAGGAAGGGGATCCCACTTCTGAATTCGATGGCCATGCGAAGCCACGAGTTCACCCGAATCCGCTGCCTTTTCTGCCCACAGTGTAGACACTATACCAGTATTGGAGTTTTGATGACAGAGAAAGGGGTTTCATAAGGTTGTCGGGCTGGTGCAAACGGCCCTTCCACCAAGTTACACCCTACGGAGGAATCATGGACTCTGCTCACCAACTTCCATCTTCCTTTCACATACGCAGTTTGACATCATGATAATTGATCTTCGGACCGGTTGGAAGGTTTGCCCTGCTGACGTGTACACCAACAGAAAGCTTTTCACTTGACGCAGGCGATAACAGAGCCGAGGTCCTCGAAGAAGCAGCAAAATATCGCCAAGACGCGGCAATGAGACTACCTCTTAGCAAAGGGACAAGCATGGACGGAACCGGTAATGCGATTGCCTTATTCGGCGTGCGCACCCCGGCCGGGTGGATGGAGAGCACCAAGAGGCGGGGCCACTCCCCCGGATGATCCTGCTCATCATCAACGGCCGGCCGCGCTCGGCTAAATCCTTCTCGCTGGGCTTTATGATCGTGTGCGGCATCATCACGCCGTTGTTCGGCGGCGCGGCGTAGGCCATTTTGAAGAAGTCGTTGTAGCTCGCGGCCCAATGGCGTGGCCGAGTCGCTGCCAACGAAGCTCACCGAGGACACCGTCAAGCTGGGCGCTACCCGACACAACATCGTCAGCGCCGTCGAAGCTTTCTCAGTGGCAGGCGTTCCCGACGGCACGCTGCGCTCCGACGTCCGCGCCGATAACGTGGTGGCTAGCCTCGTAGTCGCTGGTAGTGCTGTGGGAGTGGCGGCGGCGAACGACGAGCCTGGCGATGTCGCGGGCCTAGAAGCCGATCTAAAACGCCGCGATGCCAACGAGAATTGACATGCAGCTTTCATGGGCCAAGATAGTGAGTTCAAGTGGCTTGCTGGCAACGGAGCCAGCGTTGTTATTCAACCAACTGACCGTGATACCCTCTTTCGCTATGGCTGTTCTGACCCCTCTACCCAGCATGAGGTGTTGCACTTAAAGCCATGGTCAAAGCTCTTCTCAAATGCGGCGCAGATACGGATATTCCATACCAGCGTGATTGGATGCTCACCCCATCGCGTAGCGTAGCATGGATGTCAGGAGACATTCAAGCTTTTACTTCATTCCGGGGCAGATATCCATATCACAGATAGAGAAGGCCAAACAGCTCGCTCTGAGACGATATCTGCCAGTTAGCGGGCCATGCTGAAGCTTCATGAAGGGGCATATTCACGAGACGCCGCTACCAGGGCCGACAAAAATGACTCCATACCACATTCATGTCTCAGGATAACAATCACGCACGGGCTCTGGCAAGCTACGTATTGCATTACATAGCGTCCGAGGGCAGCAAGGCATTATCCGCGCCTCTTGAACCTATTGGTTTGAACCGTCCGGTTCTGTGGGATGAAGGATCAATTGCTGTCTATTAATTGATTCTGCGTGGCGATGGGAAAGGGATATGGATTCCAACCGCAGGTGGGAGGGGCAATTAGGGTTTGGTCGAGGGTCGATCGGCCTCTGTGCTGCCCTTGACTGGTAGTTGAACTGGACTTCCAATCTCACAGAACCCGGCTCTGGACAGCTTCTCCAGGCCGGGCAGCGAAGTGTTGAATACACGTCAGTAGGGCAACAGTACGGTTGAGACGAAGAGTCAATGAAGTGGTGTTCATTGCTACGTGTGGAGGTGGAAGGAGGAGGAATGGAAGTGGGCGAAGCCCATGACTCCTCTGGAGGTAATTAGTATGTAAGTGGAGGGCCCGTTTGTATGGCTCTGGCCGCCTTCCAGATCCACCGTTCCTGGCGACTGCCCGCTCGGCCTCACACGGAAATTCTCCCGAGACATTGGGTATTTTTGCAGCGTCCAGTCTTCCAGTCACCAGCACAGGGCAGGTTCATCCGACGTTCCCCCGGTACGGCTGGATGCGGCTGGTAAGTGTTCTCGGTGGCCCGTGGGCACTACTTGCTTTTGTGGGCAGGCGCAGCGGGGCGTACCTTAAGTGCTTTAAGGTTGTGGCGGCGGGCTCTCATTGGGTAGAGACATGAGTTACTTCCCGGATAGGAAAAATCGCTGTGAGAAGGCGCGGGAGGCTGATTGTAAGGGTGAGGTCTGGCGAGTTGCGCTGGAGCCCGATTGGCACATACTGGGCTGATCGGGCCCGAGCACATCCGCCCTGTGCCACACTATTGATATACCCGTCGACAGGGCAACATTTTTGATCGTGACGAATTCAATAATTCTGTACTGGTCTATTGCGCGCAGTGGGAGGAGGAAGTTGGTGGGCAGAGCCCGCAATTTCTGTGTAGGTGTAAGCGGGTGTAAGGGCCCATCTGCATGGGCTCAAACCACCTGCCTACCCACCATGCTCCACCTACCCAATGCGCCCTTTTTGCCTTTTATCTTGGTAACCCAACCCAACACGAATAATCTGCTCCGTCCTCATGTTACCTTAGGCAGCTGCATCGTTCCGCGTGATGTATGTATCACGTCATGTCTGGGTTAGGTAGTTTTTGCCTTCTACAGGAGTGGCAGGCACGGTTTTCTCGGCAATGGGAGGGATGGGAATGCGTGACCTGGGCATGCGTAAGCACTGACTGGTGGGGTAGCTGCGGTAGGGGTTGCCTGCCCTTAGACTTTGCTCGTGCCTTCCCTTGCTTGTGGTCCGCACAGTCGCCGGCGTTGCTCACTTCGTATCTACCTTACCTTACCTTATGGTGACAGGCCCCACAGACATGTAAGAGATTCACGCCGGGCAGGTCTCTCAAAATCTTCTTCTCATCTCGAGGGCATGATCCTTCGAGCATGTTCACTGCCGGCTGATGAAGTGGTCCACGGATGCCCACTCCACCCCTCCCCCCCTTTTCTGGTATCTGGCAACGTTTGTCGCGATGCTGGTAGTGGGCATCTTCGTCGCCGAATAGTAAGAATCTTCTTACCACTGCTAGACCAGCAGGTACGTACAATACTCAGGTTGGGAGAAAGTCTCAACTTCACGGGAGGATTGGAGCATGATCTGCACGGTGTCGCTTTGTCTGATATTCCTAACGTTTGCGTTTATTGTACTTGTCGTTGTGTTTCCGGCCACACGCTGATGTGCCTTCCGCTCTGGCTATCTTCAGTAAGATATCGTTGACTCCCGCAGATGCTTGTGAAAACGTACCTTCTACCTTACGTTGCCTCAGACCCAAAACACTCACAGGCGTCCTTGCCGATAGATAAGGATGAGTCCAGACCCTCCCGGGCACTTCGCTATGGTCTGGTTTTCAACTCAACTTATCTTACACGAGAATATCTTCTGGCACTCGTTCTCTCGAATTGTTGGGGTACAAAGCCGCCGGCGAAGGTGTCTTGTCCAGTCAGAATGTAGGAAAACATATCGGGAATGGAGCCACCAGACAACGCTACCGCAAGTGCAAGCCACTTGGGAAGCAATATGACTGGATCGATCAAGTCGTTCCCATCGTGTCACACCCCCCACCCCCCCGTCCCGCAAAGTCAGAATTCCAATACCGTTCGGTCGAGTTTTTAGACTTGGTGCTTCATATACAAGTCTACGTAGCCAGTGTGAGCTTAATATTGGTCGGCGCGCCATTTTTCCTGGCATTTGCAGCCATTGAAACATACCACCACTAGTGCCAACATGACGACAACCTCCCTGTGGTATGATTCATACGCCTCAAAAAGCCATAGGAATCCTCTCTTATCTTCCATGATCCATACATCTCCCTCCTTCAGGTGATAGTCGCTAGGGTTTTAAACTACACCCTCGGTCATAGAAGGCTCCAGTGAGGTCATACCTGAGGCTCCCGCAGTTTGCAGGCGAATCGTTGCCAAATTTGTGTGAAGCTGGCATCCTGAGTTTTGAAATCGAAATTATTCCTTGCGACTCTTAGGCTAATGTAAATTTTCAGCGTTTGGACGGTTTCCACTGTGAGCTAGTCTCAGTATCCGCTCAAATGTGTCACCTCCCGTCTATCTCGAAGCAAGGCACGTCGAACTTGTTGCGGGATGATCACATGTTGATTAACGGTACCTCTCGCAACGCGATGGCTGGGACCTACCAGACCTGTTGAGAGATAAATGGAGAGACGCAAACCGTTGATCATGGGAGCGGACTGGGTGCCTCATCATGAGGGACAGCACCATCTGCACCTCCCAACTCGCATCCACACACCTACTGTTGGGACGCACGTCACAAACATACCAAAACGCAGTCCAATATGCGGTTATTGGGCTTCGTACCGACTGCAAGAATGCCCTGCCTCCTACCTTATTTATCAGTGCTTGGAATACGCCTACCTCGTGTAGTGGCAGGTTCCGTCGCAGGTCAGGCAGAAGGGGACTCAACAGAAGAGGAAGGTGCGTCAACATTTGGGGAGAGATCACTGGCAGGAACACGACCGACTCTGTGCTACTTTCCTCTTAACTGCGGAAACCAGACGGAAGCTTCGAGAGTGCGTTTCATCACGTGCACCTCCTTCCGCCAGAAGTTGACCTCACGCGGAGGAGTCACTTCCGCAACCTTCCACCCCTTGCTTCCAAATCTCTTTACGGAAAGAGCTCCTTCCACAAGCTCTCGACCACCCGACCGCTGGCCGCTGGGACGGGGCGTCTCAGGTTGCCTACCTTACCTCGATTCCTCCCCCGAGCTCGTGGCGGAAGGTTCTTATCCTCCTTACACCTCCCAGATCCAACACTCGCCTGAATCTCAAACTTCCATTGGTAAAGATCTCTTCCAGAGCATCTATACGAATTGAACAAAGACTCTTGCCCATTACGGGCATCTTCCGTTTTCCGCGTACTTGCGGTCAGCTCAGATCCTCGATGTCCCCCCGTCTGCCTGGCTCCTCGACAAGCAGACAAGTGCCAGTATTTTCGCCAGGATGGCTAACGCTTGTTTCCAGGCACTTCCACTCTCTCCGGCTACGTCGGTGGCCATGTCAATTCTACCTCTAACCACGTCAACGACACAGTCAATGGCACTTCAACTTCCTCTAGCTACGTTAGTGATACTGTTATTTCAATTCCACCTCTGACTGATTCAACAGTAGCTCCACTTTCTCTAGCCACATCGACGGCACTTCCATTTCCTCTAGCCCACGTCGACGGCACTCCTACTTCCTCCACTCAACTCCCCCATCAGCCACTTCAACGGCACCTCCTGTAGCCAACTCGACGGCAAGCTCTCTCTGTTGGTATACATGACAGCAGAGCAAGCCTTTCGGCCGATACGAAGCTCAGTATCTCATACTGAGCTATATATATATGGAAGGAGGAAGTTACAGGGCAATCCTTTCGGCCGGTTCGAAGCTCAGCTTCTCGTGTTGAGCTACATATATCTATATAGGAAAGGAGAAAGTTATTGGGTAGAGTCCACGATTCCTCCGTCAAATGTAAGTAGGTGGAAGGGCCGTTTGCAATCACCTGATCACGTTTTCTGCTGTTCACTTCAACACTCTCTTCTAACCACGTCAACAGCACTCTCACTACCTCCGGCCACGTCGACGGCAGTCTCTTCCTCCAGCCATGTCGACGGTAATTCCTTCCCCTCCAGCCACATCGACGGCACTTCCTCTTCCTCCAGCCAGTTCGACGGCAGCTTACCTCGTTCTGCCGCTCCAACGGGCAGAAGCCAAGCCACCCACGCGTGGTTGAAGCAGCAGCATACTACAAGCAACAAGTCGCCCAGCCAACGTATTCCATCGACTGCGAGTCAACTTCAGTACATACACTCCCAATTTTCTGCAACACGGAAACTGTTTAATTGGGTACATCGGCCGGGATGAAGACGGGTACAAGACGGATAAGTGATGAATAGTACGTGATCTGCTACCTCCCCTCATCGCAATTGCAGGCTCATATACTGACATTCGCTCGCAGTAGATTGGATACGCCTCTCGGGCTTCGGCTTGGAGAGAAACGCACGTTATTAGGCCACAGTCAGACCGAATGAAAGCTCCTTCTCATTTACGCTAGATCGATCGATTTCCGAGGAGTTCGGGCGATAAAAATATACAAGTTGGAGGATTAGGAGATAATGAGGTCGATGGGATTTTCGAGTCTTAGTACGACAATCACACCGGAATAGTAATTGGCCTTTGGCAGTACGGATGGAGATTTGACGGCCGTTCGAAGCCACGATGTAAGCCTGATTCACCTCTTTTCTGTCCACAAATTTGACACTGCCAGTAGTAGGCAGGAAATGGAATTCGGAAGGTGGTCGCCGCGTGCTCGCCGCGCTCCTGTCAACGTGGAGAATACCGGGGCTCTCAGCCCCTATCGAGGTATGTTTTCATATCTACCTCACAGAATAGGAGTCCGACAATTAAAGACGATGGCGCTCGCAGAGACGGAATGGGCGATGCTGAAGCCATGGCTGCGAGACAGCTGCCTGACATAGGTGGCTCTCAAGTCTATCGTTCAGCTCTTGCGGCTGGTCTATCCAGTTGCAAACGGCCCTTCCACCTTTACACCAAAAGCAGGAATCATGGGCTTCCAGTAGATGACAATGGTCTCACCATGAGCTTCGTACAGTCAGGCTAGCTCGCGGTGAGTCTGCGTCAGAATCCTGTTGGGGAACCTCTTGGTCGGGAGGACTGAGCGAATGCGACTTTTGTCCTGTTCATTGATTCATTGCTACCATTTGAGCCGTAGGATCGAGTAGCGAGAAGGCCATGTTGCGATGAGTTTGCGCAACGAGGGTGTGAACGACGCAGCGCGGTTCAGAAATTTACTCCCGCGACTCAAGGTGAGAAGGGGAAAAGGATGGAGCGGTCAGTGATCTCTCGGTCTGCCCACTAACACTTCTATACGACAGTCACATTTGGCACGGGCTGATCAACCATTAGAGTTCTGTGGCACCGGCGTTCGACACTCAGTTTTCGGGGACTTGCACGTCACTGAAGATGTAAATCTTAGTAGGGATTCATCAGACTTCACGAGGATGACTGCTAACAAACTGAATAGGCGTCCATAGCCGCTCCTCTCAAGACTTACGACTCCTGGCTGAACTACGAGTCACCGGCCCACTGTAACGACAAGATACGCATTCAGCGTACCAAGGGCGGCGAACTCCCAAGCTCCTGGCGCAAGACACTCGACCCTGATGACTTCCCTCATTTGGCAACAGAGAGTGTCTGCTGTAGATCAAAGACGCCTCCGGTAGAGGGAAGGCGATTCTGCTATGTTGCTCGACTGACGGATTCAAAGGTCGAAGCGACTCGATCTTCTACTCTTTCTACCAGGCAACCGACGACCGACTGAATAACGTAACTTCCGTTCTCTGTGGCCTTCTTCCCATGATCCTCAACCAGAAGTCATCTTTTCTTCAACTTCTTCGCAACAGTCACGAGTACTCAGGGGCTGGGAAGACGTTCTTTCAACACGTCAGCAGCTGCGATGCTCTAGGCAGGATGTTTGTATATGCTGTCAATCATGAATGCCCGTACAGCACTATGCTACTCATCGAAGCCATTGGTCAGTAAACCTCAGATCTGGGGCAGCTCACCAGCTTTCTTCTCGTTCTGGGAATTCACGTCAAAGTCATTGTTCTTATTTGTCCTGAGTTTAGAATTGACATAGGTTTCGCCACCGCCGCCAGAGAGGATATAAATGTCTTGTCTCTGAACTACCAAACCAGGAGGTTGATTCGGCGGCTGCAAACGTCTACATCAACCACGAAGAAGACAAGTTAAGGGCCCTGAGAGGCTACAGCCTTGAGCTCAGTGTCACAGTCATCTCGCCTCTTACACAAAAAACACATTCCTCTAGGTTGCTTCAGTTTGTCATCAGCCGACTCGCTTTCACAGAAGACACACGCAGAAAGTCCCTGCACAACCACAATTCGCTCTGGGCTCATTATGAAGAAATTTTGACCAACATCCGTGAATGTTTGGATGCGGATTATGGTAGGTCAGTTTTGGCGGCCGTGTTTGTTACCTCTCGCCCGCTTGATTCGGCCGAGCTGGCTGACCATCTTCGACTATGCCAGAAAGTCGCGATAACTTTTGGACCATGCGATCCCTTTTTCATATCCCTCCTGAACCCATGTCTCATTCGGCGTCGAAACAAACCCCTCATCAAGCCCGATTCCGCCGACCATACCTCCGCCGACCATACCTCCTCCGACCACACTTCCTCCAACGATGCCTCTCCCTCCTCCCCTCCGAGCTCCAACGCCTCTCCCCCAAGAATTCTCTCCCCATGACCGCCGCTCCCCGGAGAACCCCCGGCGGTCTACGTATAATCGCTAAAGCGGGATTTGGCGAAGGCGACGTTATCACTGCCGCCCCGAGACAGCCCCGATCCGCAAAGCCTGGCGCCCGAGTCACCGAACCCGAATGAGAACCCGGTCCAAGACTAGATACTAGCCCAAACCCTTGTCAGATCTATAGAAGAGCAGGTCGCCGTCGTCACTAGGGTCACGAACATAAGCGGAGGTGCTGGTGACTTCATACACCAATCGGTGAAGGAGTTCTTGTTCGGGCGACAAGACAAGTCTATGCCATCAGGAATCGAGCATTACAAGAATTTGGTTCTGTTGAAGCTTGAACTAACCATACCAAGGACGCTGCGGCCCGAGTATCGCCTCGATGGACCTGGGGTCCGCCAAACATATCCGCGTTTCGCATCCTGATCCGCTGGCACTTTTCAGTTACGATGTGCCATTTCAACAAGCGTAAGTACAGATCCGTTGTATATTTGTACACTGGGTTGATTATGTTACTGGCGATAATTTCGACAGCTGCATTTCGAACAAGTCCATGCATTGATCAGGTGAGACTTTCTCCATTGGCTTGGAGACTCGGGCCTGCTGTGAAGGACGTATCAAGGGGTGCCTTTGATGTTATCAATACTCCAAATCTTTGATGTCAGTGGAGAAGGCATCGTCGCTGCGCGCTTGCACTAATTGCTCACAGACCTCGGAAAGCCCGTCGGGTCGCAAGGTCCAACAGTTCGAGATGCAATCAGATTCATGCCTTACTCCTGGACCTCACCAAGGTTGATCCCATGTCATCCTACATCTCGGCATTGGTAGTCAGCAGTCCCGCGAGGCAACATGCTATGGCTGATGAGCCAAGATGGTCCTTGACATCAATAGCACCAGACACCTGGTGTCCACGTTTACGAACCCTCGAAGAACATCAGGACCGCGTCAATTCAGTGCATCTCTCCTCTGATATGATTGTACTGACTTCCGCATCCTCTGATTGCATGGTAAAGCTGTGGGACATTGCGACAGACTCCTGTCCAAGAATGCTCAGCACCGGCGATCCGGTCTGCTCCACGGCTTTCTCCATCGATGGAGCCACACTCGCATCAGCTTCAGGGTAATGCTGAGCTGCGGGATACGAGAACCGGCAGGTGCGTTCAAAAAGTCTGTACTCGTGGCAATCCTCTTTCGTCTGCTTTTTCATATGACAGCAGCACATTGGCGTCATTCTCGACAGCGAGCGTTGTTGAGCTATAGGACACTGTGAGCGGTTCCTGCCTTCGTGAAGCTGAAGACAATAGCAGCTCCATCTACCCATGTTTTTCCTTGAGATACGGTTGCCTTCCTTTTTCATCCTCTCAGAACGAGAGCTCTGACAGGGGGCTACAGGGGACTGCATCAAGATCATCAATCAGCTTTCGGTCAGGCTAGTCGCAGTCTCACATCATGGCCGTCAAATTGCATCTATCACTCGGACCGAAGGCTGGACGCGCATTGTTCTTGTAGGTGATTGTACTGGTCAAGTAGCAGATCAGCTCGTCGAGACAGCGGACACCATCGCAGTCGCGTGCGACAGCTCCCATCTTGCAGCTAGTGATTTTCACAGCAGTGGACATCTTTTGGACTTGACTCTGATCGAAACAGACGTGTGTTCAGGGGCCACTGTGGACGTGTGACCTCAATGGTATTTTCCAAGGACGGGAGCTTTCTTGCATCTGCTTCCAGAGACCCAGCCGTCAAAACCTGGCATTGGAAGCTATCTGAACCTTTGGTGTGATCAAAGTTATCAAATCTCAGATTCAATGGGCTAACACATCCGAGCTCAGATGTCCATAGGGGCACAGAACTCGGAGCGACCGGGAACGGTGCTGTCAACCGACATGACGAATTCGTCGGCTCGCTCAATGCCGCATACGAAGGTAGCTGTCCATATCTGCCTCTTGTCACAGAGGGTGGTTTGGAACACGGTAAACGGAGACTGCCACGACGTCATCGATGCAGGTGTCTTCCCCTAATGCACCACGATCTTCATTCACGGCAATGTGTGCGTGGCGGAGACCTTCGGACATCGGACGAGGATCGTCGACAAAATCAAAGGAGGAGCTGACGAGTGAGGTATGCAGCAGCGCAGAAGGTTTGACGCAGGGACGATTGGCAGCATCCTCGTGATCAATCGCAGAGCTACTGGACATCTTCCTCATCTTGTTGTGGGCGGGCAAAAGCATTATTGGTGACGAATCCGTTATAAGTTACCCCTGTTCTGCATTCGTGGGGTTCCATCTTCGAATTCTAATCAGGATGCAGCGCAATGAGCTTCAGAGGCATGCTGCCTTGAGTCAAGCAAGGCATTCGCGGCAGAACGAGCAAAAGGTCAGTGGCCTGAGATCAGACACGGTCATCTTCAGGACATGCACTTTGACTCTGTAGGGGTAGAAAGGTACTCTTCACATGCGAAAATGCCTCGAGTCGCCAGTCAGTCATTCCCTCATTTCCCAAGATGTTGGCTAACGCGAGTTTCAGCATTCAGAACACAATCCCGAAGATGACAGACGTCACAGATTGCGCCCTCCAGCAACGGCCAGGACTCAAGACTGGTGAAGTCAAAGGAGCACCGGACAGCATTACGTTGGATGCCTTCGACTTGCGCCTCAGTGGACTCTCCTAGGCTAATCCGTCGCCGTGAGCCTCAACCGATAGGAGTCAGAGACAACCCCCCACTAATAGCAGAGGCGCGAACGCCGCCGGATCGGCACCACTATCACCCGCTCCCGACGCATGAGATCCGCCAGTGGCCCAGACGAAACCGCCCAGTGGCCGCCATCCCGCTGGCCCCCTGTCACAACTATCGGCATCGAGGTGGTCAGCGCATATCAGTTAAAGACGTGTTGCACGTTGACATGTCTTGATTACAACCTCGAAGAACACTTCATCCTCCACATGGCTGTGGCCAAGGTCCATCGAGCATACAAGGCTCTAGCATGGAGTGTTACTAGACAAGCCAACAGAGTTGTGGAACTCATGACAGGGAGACTATGAATATCAGAGGCAGGTGGTTAACGTGGGAAACATCGCTGACGTTTGAGTGGGCATTATTAGTAATTCGGTGCCCCGAGACGGCAGGACGTCACGCCATCCTCGTGACGGTGTGACAGGCCTCAACCTCAGCTTCAATCGATGCAAGGACTCAATCATGGACGCCAACGTCCGAGACCCGAGCAAACGTCTCATCGGGGTACTTCGTCACTCAATGACCTCATACTGTCTGGCACCGAGGAGCCTCTCCAAACCATACTCGGCCAGGCATGCGGCTAAACATGGTATCGTATGCAAGGTTTCCTCAGCCTTCACAGTATCTACGGCCGTGGATGGATGTGGCATGAGTGAAGACGCTGGCATGCACAACGTTATGCCGGTCCCATTAATTGCGGAATGGCGTCAGTACACTGTACGTACTTGGACCGGCCCTATTTCCCTTATTTCCTTCAATCAAACGGTTCATGTAAGAGCAGAAATGGAGAAAACTGGAGAACGTGTGTACTGACGCCATTCCGCACTTGATGAGATATCATCTCTTGGGTCTCCCAAGGTCCCCAAAGTCGAGTTGATGAAGACTTCACAATACCGAATCAAGGTCGAGAATTGCACGGCTACGAAGGAGGTGTGGCGCCGCGTAATGGTATTGCAAGGCAGCCATGAGCTGATGTTTCATGTCCACAACAGTACATATCCCCTTCGCCCAAAGCCGCCTGTCGAGGAGAGAACAGCACAGTTAAACGCGAGGCTGAGACGCAGCATCTGTGGCCAATTGACCTGAGCCCGGTCAGGACGGACCCTGGTGGGCAGCCGAAGTACGGCTTCTGGTGATGTTAGGCCATGCAACGGGATGAGAGTAACGCGGGTCGATTGACCGTGGTGTGCGTGTTGCAGCGCAAACACGTAGTGTTATGGCGGGAGTAGGGAGGGTTATCCAAAGAAGCTGTATCTAGTGGTTCTCTCTCGAACGAGGGGGAAACGAGGTCGCCATCCGTTGCTCAACACGTGCATGCCAGTCCGAGAATGGTGGACAAGGCACGCTGATGAGGGAAGTGCCACAAGGCCGTGGAGACATGGGGCTGTCGAAGTTGTGGCCGATGGCATTGCAGGGGTCAATGATGAAGAGCAGCATAGCTGTCAATTTCGTGGTGGCCGGGTGCGAAGTTACTCGACCGGTGCATCTGGGTAACTTGACACAGTACGCAGGTACAAGATGCATCTTCGCGTCACGTCGCGACTCCACCTGGCGCGGTCTTTGGTCTACGCGTCGCAGTTTTGGAAGATGACAAAGCGGATTGTGGCTAGGTAGGAGGGGCATCTGTTACCGAATGTCAAGGCAGAGGTTGCCAGTTGTACGGTTGGCAGGCCTTCAGCCAAAGCCTGCTCGTTGACATCGTACAACAGGCGTCGACCAACGACCACCCTTTCCGACCAAACAGCAGGGAGGCTCAAATCGTCGATGTATGACCTGCTCTCCGTATCAACAGCACCTTCATGAGCTGCCCCTAGATTATCATTCAAGCACCGAAGGGGGCGGGCGGCCTCGGTGGGCGAAATCGGGGGATCGTTAGGCAGTAATCTTTCGATGCGAAGGGTTGAGAAGATAGCACCAACCCACCCGCCAGCATAATACATCATCATATAATTAGTAGAGATACTTAGCACCGTGCGCAGAGCGCATATTAGACTTGAAGAAAACAATTATCTATTATCGCACTTTTTAGGATGTCCCGTACGCATATAGGTATTAGTAAAAGTAAATAGCTAGCTATATATAACTGGACCGCTATAGTAGCTACTACTAGCCCGGAGACTCTATTTATTTAGTATTTCTTAGAGCAAGGCGCACCTACTTTATAAGCGCTATAAAGGTAATAAAATCGACTACTACTAAATATACTCTCAATTAGCCTAGCTTATTAATTAATATTCTTATTTATATTCTTTTAAAATTTAGTTTTATTTGATTATATAAATTTATATATATTAGGTTTTTTAATAAGAAATAAAAAATATTAATTTAAATAGAATTAAGTTTTAAAAAAAAGCTATATTATATATTATATTTTCTATTATTTATTTTTATATTCTATTTTTATTAGTTATTCAGGCGGTTTTTAATATTAATAAATACTCTTACTGTTTTAATATATTATTTTCTTAACTTTTTTTTTATAAAGTTTATAATTATAAATTATTAATAATAATATTAAGTACTTAATATTACTATTTAATAAACTACTTACTTAGCTAAGTTTATATCCCTTTTAAATAATAATAGTTTATAATAATAATATTAAAAATACCCTCGTTATTATTATTAAAAATAATATTAACTTTTATAAGCTATTATAATCTCGCTTTTATTATAATATTTATTTTAATATTTTTAACTTTATTTATATATATATATATAGCGCTTAGTATTGCTATTAATAATCTTAAACTTTATAAGAGGGAAAGTTAGAAAGGTAGAAAATTTAAAAAAAATAGTTTATCGGGATAGTGAGAGTATGTATTAATACTATATATTAATACTATATAAACGATACTAAGAATTACCTAAGTAATTAGTAAAGATAGAATATAAAAATAAATAAATATATATATATATATATATTACTTTGTTTTTTTATTAAAATTATAAAATATGTTCTTTACTATTTATTATTATTATTATTATTATTTTAACTGAGTAATGACTGTATGCGGTGAGTTTCACCTAAACGAGGGTATCCTAGATTCTGTCACCCACTAACCCACATCACCACCCATGGCGATGGACATCGGCAATGCAAAGGGGGCCGACACTCACCCTGAGCTTCGCCCATCTCCCCCGCGAATGGGTCCGTTGTGTTTTTTTCCCTCTAATCCTATTCTTACAGCGGGCGAGTTCACAACCATGGCGTCAATCTTGACCCAGGCGACTTCCGGCTGCCTCTGTCCCAGGTGTGGCATGGAATTCCAGCGCCAAGACCATCTCAAGCGGCATTTATTCCTCCATGAGAATTACAAACCTTTCGTTTGTTCAGAATGCAGTCGCCGATTCCCAAGAAGGTGAGTGGTCGACCTCAGACTTATCAGAACATTCCCGCAGACTGAACCTAGACCCCCGGCAGAGACAACCTTGAGCGTCATGCCTTGGTTCACGAAACTTCAATCAGACAGCGGTCGAAGGTGGGCGACAAGACGCGGGGGGCTAGAGCGTGTGTTTCTTGTCGCACCTCCAAACAGAAATGTGACGGCAATGGACTGCACGCCTGTACTAGGTGTGCGCAAAAGGAAAGGCAATGTCAGTACTTACCCCGTCGCGCCAGACAGGTGAGTTCATATCGAGCCTTTCTCCCTTGTCCAAACCAACGTTCTGGCGTTCATTACTAATAATAGCACCCAGCCTTCGCGGTTGAAGTCTCCGGTCGGCCGAGACGCAACAATCGGCGCAGGGCCCTCCACTACATGTGATGATACAGAAACAGACTTCATGGCTTTACTTTCAGCAGGCTCTTTGAATGAATCCCATTTGTCAGAGTTTGATCAAAATCACACTATTGACAATGCAGACATGGCAGTCGTCGCCTTCAACGTCACTCCCACTACACGGGGCGAAATTCCCACTGGGACTTCGAATGAGAGACAATCTCCTCCTGACCTTTCCGCGTTAGGAATGCTGAACTGGGCAAGTTCTGTGGCCGTTCCAAATCTTCCGCTTGGCAACTGGCCTAATTTGGACGCACATAACGAAACCTTTTCGATTGATCCCCAGCTTGCTACTCTTTTGCTTCAATCTACAGCCCGTAACCAGTCCGCCCAAACAATCCGTTGTTCTACGAACGATGAAGCTGGGCTGGAGAACTTAGGCCATGTACCTGAGCTTACCCAAGAAACATTTGAGATTTTGAGTGCATGGGCCTGCATGATGAGTCCTTCGTGGGAGACAAGTGTCGCAAGGCCTTTCAATTCTGTCTCGGCCTCGCCTCACAATACCTTGAACGCTTTCATACAGCTCTACTTCGAGAAGTTTCATGACATACTGCCTATCATCCATCGGCCAACCTTCAATCCCAACTTCGCTCCATACTTGTTGGTGTTAGCCGTTGGCAACATTGGGCGTCGTTTCTCAAAGTTGACTGGAGACACATGCTTTGGAACTGAAGTGGAACAGTTTGTCTACCACACTGTGCAATACTATGTCAGTAGAGTCATCTCAATTCCTTGTAGTCAATCTCTAGTCTCTGACTCGGAAGATAGGTCGGGAGTCTACCACCAAACGACACCATTCCGGTTTGGCTAGCTCAAACGGTGCTTCTCACTCAGGTGTCCATGACATTCTCCAACGACATACAGAACGGCGAAAGGAGCAAGATGGCACGAAGTATTCTATCCGTTACTTTGGTGAAGCTCGGACCATTGCTAGAAGCTGCCGCAGTGAAGACATCCAGAAACACAAATCGATCAGACTACCAAGTCCAGTGGGAAGCCTGGGTCGAGCGAGAAGTATTGCGACGCACTGCGTTTGGTTTATGGGTGAGATGCTATTTCATTGCACCCTTATGTGCTCTTTTATCTAATGTTATCGTAGCTTCTGGATAGCCAGTGTTGCCTGCTATTTGATCTGACACCAGTTGTAACTACAGACGCTCCCGTCCGGCAAATGCCACTACCTTGCCACGAACGACTCTGGGAGACGTCATCTGCCTCATCGTGGGCTAATAAATGCGAAGGTAGGCTCAGAATTGCTTCTTAAAGGAATTTTTACTCGTTCCAAATGCTAATATCTCAGGATCCGATGATCTGCGCACATTAAAACAAGAAATGCAGGCACTATATAAACTTAGACCATTACCAGAAAACACCGGCGGCTTTACACTCCTGCTCTTGCTTTTTTGCTTTTTCCGAGACCATGTGTTCTTGAAACAGGTCGAGGGTCAAGGCTTCAGGGCAGTACTCAATACTGATGAGGAACGAATCACTTCCGGCATGAGTCTTTGGTCGAAGGCTTGGAAGCTCTTAGACCCAACACAGCGATCGGATCCCACTCGTATGAGAACGGTTTCAGTCCAGTATCACCATATCATAGGACTTGTTATAGAATTGCCCTTAAAAGATCTGCACGACTTCGTAGGCTGGAGAGTCACGCAATCCAAGCAGCGCGAGACCCGACAAAGGCTGATGGCATGGGTGGCAGAGAACGGAGAAAGGGCAAGGTCTGCAGCCCTTCATGCTGGGAGGATTTTTCGCCAGTGTCGAGATCGTTCGTCATCTGGTTACCAAGAGCCTTGCGCCATGCTTATTGCCAGCCTCGCTCTCTGGATGTATAATAGCTCCTGGACGGCTCCGTCGCTGGCATATGCGGCGAGTTGTTACCATGAGCAGAACCAATTCCCAATCCTTCGACTCGACGAAGAAAACGACTGCGAAGAGGCATGGGAATGGATACAGACGGGGGAAAGGGCGCGCCCACACATTGCTGGCATTGGGGATATTCACAAGCCCGGAGGTCACTCCAAAGCTGTGCATCAAGCCATCAACATCCTGAAATCGTTCAAGGAATGGCGAATTGGGCAGCTATTCTCTACAAACTTAAAGGACCTGATTGTATCGTTCGACAAAGACACTATGAACTAGTATAAACTCTTGTGAAAACACCCGGCCCGCCCAATTCGAATGACACCATACGCTTGAAGCGATATCCTCGAATCTTTCATCTGGTTTAGTACAAGTAACCCGGTACGCTTTTTTCCAAATTCATGCTCGAGGGGACACTTTGAGAGGGAGACCCCTTTCCAGTTCGATAGTGAAGTTGTCAACTCGTCTTGGAGGCAGGAACCCCGAAGGAAAGGTGATCTTGTACCTTCGAAGGATGGAAGCGAGAGCGACAAGCATCTCGATAGGAACGAGACTAGAGTTTCGGACCATAGTCAGCAAATGAAGTGCTAGCATGAGCACAATTGACTGAAGCTTACTTTTGCCCAATACACATTCTTGCGCCCTTGCTGAAATGAACCTGATACTGATCCAAACCCTTTGCCTCAGGGACCAACCAGCGATCAGGGTTGAATAATCGAGCATCAGGGCCCCAAATGTCAACACTGGAATGAATCGTATGAGCCGACATGGACACGATGGTCTGTCACAGTCAGCATGTATTCAGTCGATGTCGTGCCAGTAAGGCTGTGAATCAAGAGTCAGAAGCAAACATGGTTCCACGTACACCAGGAGGGACAATCTTCTCGTCCACAATGAAGGGTTCCGAGCTGTCGTGCGGTACCACTCGTGGAAGGCGCGAGGGCACTGCTGACGCAACACGGAGGCCTTCTTTGACACAAGCTGTCTAAAAACACTTCAAGTCAATCACAACGTTGTATAACATCCAATGCCTAGGTTGCTTACCAAGTAATCTATCTTTTCCAACGTCTGAACTGGAGGCAAATCATTTTTGTCTGGAATAGCAGCATCGAGCTCTTGAACCAGTCTCTTCTCGATGGACGGATTACGTAAAATCTCAAAGAGAGCCACGGTCATTGACGAGGCACTGGTGTCAGACCCAGCCACCAAAATTTCAAGGACTAGGCCGACCAGTGCATCATTCGATAATTGAGCCATATTCTCAATAATAACGGGATGATCAACGGCCGCTTTTGATCCATTAGAATCACGCCAGCGGTACACGCCCTGCTTCGCAAACTAAACATTAAAGGTTAGGAAGATGAGACGGAGATTCGACTGCAGGTTTGGCGAGATATTTGGGGAAGAGGCTACTACTTACGTCAGCTAGCTGAGCGAAGCTGCCGATCTCTGGAGAGAAGATCTTCACCAACCCAAAGGGTAGTGCGTTGCTAATTTTGGGCAGCAACGGGTACTGTTGGAAGATCTTCGCAGCCGCAGCACCGACGCTGAAAGCCGTGAGAAATTGCGATCCGAAACCGTCGGGCTGCTCTTCCAGGATATTGCCGCTATCGGCAAGACACCATTCCATAATGATGCTCGTAGTTAGTAGTCTACCGAGGTGTTAGGCCAAGGATCAGTGAGAATAAATCAGACGTTGCAAGCATCAACAGTTTCATAAAGTGGCATACCGAAATGCGCCATAAAAGTCGATAACCTGCTTATCGCAAAGCCTTTCGATCTTGTTCTCCAAGTCTGCCAACCGTCCGCGAACAAGATCTTCCAGCTTCAGAACCGCTGAACGAGAGAACATGGGATTCATATGGCGTCGCAGCTCTCTATGTTTAGCCTCATCCGTCGCCGAGAAGAGTCCGGGAGGCGGCACATTGAATCCTGCGTAGAAAGCTTTCTCCTTTGGGAACGGGTTTGATTGCTTGTAAATGACCTTGTAAAGGTGCGGATCAGAGATGTGAAGTTCGTTGGGTGCAATTCTGATGGCTTTGGCGCCTGCGCTTTCGACGTCAGCTACCATTCACAACCAGCATCGCCGTTTCAAAGAGGGTGATCTTACCATAGTGATCATGAAGTTCATCATAGACATCTTCGGGATACGGCTTCAAAGTCTGAAGATAGAGCCAGTTGCGTGATTTGGCCGCTTCTTTTGGTCCAGGGAAGTCGCTGAGAGGATGTAGGTAAACGCGGTAAAGCCCTCGAAGGTAGGTAAAAAGAACGAGGAAAAGCGCAACTGCGGGAACGCCGAAGGCGATTCGAGTCGATGAAACCGAATCATTGAAACGCGGCTGCCATAGGGTAAAATTATCGAAGGACATGGTTATTTTTGGTGTTGAAATCTGATGTTAAAAAGACTGCTGAGAGAAGGTAGTCGATGTCTCAAGCTTCCTCCTGGACAACTTTTATACAAAAGTAAGGCGCCTTCTTTCCGACAGTTCTCATTCATCATTACGTCTTATAAAGCACTCACCCATGATTTGAGGAGCCGACGAGCCAAAGTGCTGGCACTAAATTGAGGAGCCGACTGCGCTGATGCCGGTGTGGAGACATTTCGGCTCCTCGATTTGTGGGGCGACGTTGAAGTCGGAAGCCACCTGGGCGGCACGCCCCGATACTGCCGCTACCTAATTAGAGGCTGGTCTCCTCTACCTTGTAACTTGACAAAGTCTTACGCCAGGGGAGAAGTGCTGGAAGTATCCTTAGGCCCAATGCATGTAGTTGCCATACTAATGACCTTTCTATCGTGTTGAAAGAGATCTTTTGGCGTTCCGAAAAAAAGATGCAAATAAAGCAAAGCCAGAATGATTGTTGCCATTGAAACATCCGTATCGCCGACTACTTTGAACATGTCGTGATTGTCCATTGGTCGACTTTTGCTCTCTCCGAATGTGCGCCACATCAGTAGGATCTGATTCACAAAGCGGCAGTGTTGCACATCCTCTGGCGTTGAGAGGATTGAAGTAACAAATAGATCGCCTTACCCGTAGCTTTCAAGTTCAAGCAAATTCTCCGGGCCGCAAAAGTTTCAGGGGGTTCATAAGATAAACAATGCTAGATCGCAATGCAGCCGCATCCGGTGGGATAGAGCCCGGGCGCACGGGAACTTTTGCCGCAGTGCCCACAAAGTCAAACTCTACTAACGACATACGAGATTCTCTCTCTACAAAAAATAATTCACAATATAAAAGTTCTTAAAGTTTGGGCTAAAATTATTAAATTATTTTCCCTCTAAATCTATATACTCAAAACCACCGCCTCCGTCTAACCTTTTCGTAATATCTATACCTTAATACAACTTCCCTCTCGCCTAATTTTTCTTAATATCTACTATTAGTAAATAAATAAACCTATTACTAAATTTCTAATAATTAAAAACTCTTTACCTCTTTTTATTAGAGCCCGTATCCGTAATAGCTTTATAACTACTACTTATAATAAATTTAACTTATACTTAATAATAAGTTATTAATAAGTTAATAACTAGTATATAGTAGTTTTTTTTCGGCTTTATAAGCGCAAAAAATCAACCTTAATAAGATTACGCTTTTAAAAGAAATTATATAATATAATATACTTTTTAATTATATAATACGCACAATATACCCTAAGTACGCGCTTAATATAATATAATAATTTTAATATAAAAACCGCTATATAATTTAGAATAAGTAAGCTACCTTTTATATAGTAGTGCCGGTTAAAAAGGTTAATAATAAAGGTCGGCTATAATAATTAGCTATAATAATTAGAAATAGCCTTTAACTATAGAGGTTCTAAACTTTAATAATAACGTAGAGGTTTTTAAAAAAAGGGCTAAATAGGCTAATATCTACTACTTTTTAGAACTCGTAAAGATTTTTTTTATCCTTATCGCTTCTAATATTACCTAAAGCTACTTTCTATTTAAATTAAATAAATCTATTAAATAAATCTACTAAATAAACCTATTAATATATAAACTACTACTTAAATAGCTAGTTAAATAACTAGTTAAGAGGTTAGCTAGTTAAAATACTACCTTAATAAGAACCTAAAAATACCCGTCGATAAATCTACCTCTCTCGGGCTAGGCGCCCTTAGCTAGCTCGATACTATAGCTATCGTAACTAATATAAGTACGCCCAAGGATTAATAAAGTACTTTTTAATAATACGGAATTTAGCTAAGTAATAATATAAACGCTATAAATAACTAAGCTAATATAGATATTAAGATTTAGTATATTAACGCTAGCTTAGTAATTATACTTTATAAAACTAGAAATCTTTTTAATACGGGCTATATTATAAACATAAGGGAATATATAAGGGGCCCCCTAACCCTTAATAAAAAAGAGTATATAATATAAAATCTAGCTACTTACGTGGGCTAGTATTAAAAGGTCTTATATATATTAAAATAAGTATAGCTCGCCCTTTAGACGGGCGGGGGAAGGTTAGGAGCTATTTTAATTAGTAATTAGGTATAAAGCGTAATATACTTAGTTTTCCCTATTACGTAATATATAGTACGGCCCCGGCGGATTGCTCCGTCGGGGGGGTTAATAACTAGTATATAAATTATATTTTAAAAAAGCTTTTTATAAAATAGAGCTTATATAAAAAACTTTATAAAGTTTTATTTTATAATAAATTTATTAGCTACATTAGCTAGGGCGTCGAGGGGGCCTAATCTATCGAGCCCTAGAGGGGGGGACCTATTAAGGAGTATCTTTAGTAAAGTAGGTTCTTAATAAGGTAGTAGTTTATATATTAATAAGTTCGTTTAATAAGTTTATTTAATAAATTTATTTAGTTTAAATAAAGAGTAGTTTTAAATAATATTAAAAATAAAAAAAATAAAAATAATCTTTATAAGCTTAAATATAAATAGTTAAATATTAGCTTTATTAACTTTTTTTTAAAAAAACCTCTATATTATTATTAAAGTTTAAAACTTCTATAATTAAGGGCTATTTCTAACTTTTATAACTAACTTTTATAATTAACTTTTTTAATTAGCGCCGCTATATAAATATATTACTTAGCTTATTATTAATTAATAATAGGGTTACTTACTTATTCTAAATTATATAGTAGTTTTTATATTAAAATTATTATATTATATTAAGCACGTACTTAGGGTATATTATATAAATTATATAATTAAAAAGTATACTTTATTATATAATTTTTTTTAAATACGTAATCCTATTAAGGTCGATTTTTTATACTTATAAAGCTAAAAGAAAACTACTATATAATAAATTTATATTTATATTATAATCTCGCTAATTAAGTATTTATAACTTAACTTTTTATAATTTCAAAACTTTTATTTTTATAAAACAATTAATATAAATTAATATAAATTATAAAAATAAATAAAATATTAATAAAATAATACTTAATTATTAGTAAAAAGTTATTAATATTAAGAGATTAGAATGGTTTAAAATTAATTACCTAATACTATTTTATTTAAAGTAACGAGCTTATTATAAAGTAAGTCTTATTTGAATATTAATCTTAATAAAACAGCTAAATAAGAAGAATAATTAAAATAAACTATTTTTATAAGTTATTTATTTTATTAATATTCTAAGGACCTTATTTATTAAAGAATAAAGCATTTATTAATAATTAATTATTAAATATATAAATGTTAAATATTTATATTAACCCGGCTATTTATAATACTTATAATATTACTTAGCTAAATTCCGTTTTATTAAAAAAAACTTCGCTACTTCTTAAATATATTTATATTAATTATAATAATCATAACGTCGAGCTAACTAAAAGAGTACTTAGTCTAAAAAGAGTAGACTTATTAATAAGTATTTTTAATTTATTAATTATTAATTATATACTAAGAGAGTAAGTTCTTGTTAAAGTAGTAGTTTATATTTAATTTTTTTATTTTTATATTTTATATTTATTAACTACTTAGGCAGTTTTTAATATTAATTATATAGTATTAATATATAGTATTAATAAATACTCTTACTATTTAATAAACTATTTAAAAAGCCTTATATAGTGGTTTTTTTTTAGCTTTATAAGTATAAAAGATCGACCTTAACGGGATTACGCTTTTAAAAAAAATTATATAATACGGTATACTTTTTAATTATATAATATATATAATATACCCTAAGTACGTACTTAACGTAATATAGTAATTTTAATATAAAAACCCCTATATAATTCGGGATAAGTAAGCTACCTTTTTTAGTAATAATACTAGTTAGAAAAGTTAATAATAGAGGTTAGCTATAATAATTAGCTATAATAGTTAGCTATAATAATTAAAAACGGCCCTTAATTATAGAAGTTCTAAACTTTAATAATAATATAAAGGTTTTTTAAAAAAAAGGGCTAAATAAACTAATATTTATTACTTAAAGCTTATAAAAATTCTTTTTATCCTTATTATTTTTAATATTACTTAAAACTACTTTTTATTTAAACTAAATAAATTTACTAAATAAATTTACTAAATAAACTTATTAATATATAAACTACTATTTAAATAGTTAGTTAGATAACTAGTTAAGAAGTTAGCTAGTTAAAATACTACTTCGATAAGAACTTACTTTACTCTTAGTATATAATTAGTAATTAATAAGCTAAAAATACCCGTTAATAAGTTTACCCCTCTTAAACTAGGCACCCTCTTTAGCTAGCTCGATATTATAGCTATTATAACTAATATAAATATACCTAAGAATTAGTAAAGTATTTTTTAATAATACGGAATTTAGCTAAGTAATAATACGAACGCTATAAATAGCTAGGTTAATATAGATATTAAAATTTAATATATTAATACTAATTTAGAAATTATATTTTATAGAGTTAGAAATCTTTTTAATATAGGCTATATAATAAATATAAAGGAATATATAAGGGGCCCCCTAACCTTTAATAAAAAGGAGTATATAATATAGAATCTAGTTATTTATATAAGCTAATACTAAGAGGTTTTATATATATTAAAATAAGTATAGCTCGCCCTTTAGACGGGCGAGGGAAGGTTAGGAGCTATTAATAAAAAGAAAATAACAGTTAAGTTAGTTAATTTTAATTAGTAGTTAGGTATAGAGCCTAATATACCTAGTTTTCCTTAATACGTAATATATAGTACGGCCCCGGCGGATTGCTTTGTTAGGGGTTAAAAAGCCTTATATATAGTGGTTTTTTTCTAGCTTTATAAGTATAAAAGATCGACCTTAACGGGATTACGCTTTTAAAAAAAATTATATAATACTATATACTTTTTAATTATATAATACGTATAATATACGTTAAATACGTACTTAATATAATATAATAAT